AGAAACTTCTTCCAGGTCTCCCACACGGGTGCAGGGTGCCAAGGCTTTGGGTTGTCCTCGACTGCTTTCCCAAGCCACAAGCAGGGAGCTGGATGGGAAGCAGGGCAGCCAGGATTAGAAGTGGCGCCCATATGGGATACCAGCACATGCAAGGTAAGGTCTTTAACCACTACGCTATCACGTTGGGCCCAATAAATCTTTTTTTAAAAAAATCATATCAATAGATGCTTTTAATAGAAAACAAAAATCGGGCTTGGTGCAGTAGCCAAATGGCTTAAGTCCTCACTTTCCATGTGCCAGGATCCCATATGAGTGTCAGCTAGTACCCCAACTGCTCCACTTCCCATCCAGCTCCCTGCTTGTGGACTGGGACAGCAATCAAGGATGGCCCAAGGACCTGGGACCCTGCACCCACATGGGAGACCTGGATGAAGCTCCTGGCTTCAGATTAGCGCAGCTCCTGCCATGGCGGTCACTTGCAGAATGAGTAAATGGACAGAAGATCTTCCTCTCTGTCTCTCCTACTTTCTGTACACCTGACTTTCCAATAAAAATAAAAATATATCTTGGGTCCGGCGTGGTAGCCCAGCGGCTAAAGTACCTCGCCTTGAATGCGCTGGGATTCCAGGGGTGCTGGCTCTAATCCCGGCTGCTCCACTTCCCTTCCAACTCCCTGCTTGTGACCTGGGAAAGCAGTGGAGGATGGCCCAAAGCCTTAGGACCCTGCACCTGTGTGGGAGACTCGGAAGAAGCTCCAGGTTCCTGGCTTCAGACATGCTCAGCTCCAGCCATTGCAGCCACTTGGGGAGTGAACCAGTGGATGGAAGATCTTTCTCGCTCTCTTTCCTTATCTCTGTAAGTCTGCCTTTCCAAGAATAACAAATCTTTGAAAAATATATTTTTAGGGCCCGGCACGATGGCGTAGCGGTTAAAGTCCTCGCCTTGCATGCGCTGGTATCCCATATGGGAGCCACTTCTAATCCCACAGTCCCGCTTCCCATCCAGCTCCCTGCTTGTGGCCTGGGAAGGCAGTCGAGGACGGCCCAAAGCCTTGGGACCCTGCACCCACATGGGAGACCTGGAAGAGCTCCTGGCTCCTGGCTTCAGATTGACTCAGCTCCAACCGTTGTGGCTGCTTGGGGAGTGAATCATGGGATGGAAGATCTTCCTTTCTGTCTCTCCTCCTCTCTGTATATCTGACTTTGCAATAAAAATAAAATAAATCTTTTAAATATATATATATATATACTTTTAAACCCTGAAATTTTAAAAATTGACAATATCTAGAATAAGAATTCCCATATGCTGTTGATAGAAATGCAAAATAGCATTATCACCTTGGAAAGCAGGCAGTTTCTTAGCAGATTAACTAGACATGTAATCACATGATCAATTAGTTCCCTCCTGGGTATTTATATAGTTAGACGATACAGCCACCAAAACTTGACTGAAGCTTACTTGGTTGTTTTTATTTATTTGTTTGTTTTAATATTTATTTAGCAGCCTGGCACAATGGCTCAGTGGCTAACTCTTCACTTTGCAAGCACCAGGAGCCCATGTGGCAGCTGGTTCGTACTCCAGCTGCTCACTGTCCATCCAGCTCCCTGCTCGTGGCCTGGGAAAGCAGTGGAGGACGGCCCAGGGCCTTGGGACCCTGCACCTGTGTGGGAGACCCAGAAGAGGATCTAGGCTCCTGGCTTCGGATCGGCCCAGCACCAGCCGTTGCAGTTGCTTGGGGAGTGAATCATTGGATGGGAGATCTTCCTCTGTCTCTCTTTCTCTCTGTATATCTGACTTTGCAATAAAAATAAATAAATCTTAAAAAAAAAAACTTTATCCCAAATTCCTCTTCCTCCCTAGCACCCCCACCCCAGAGGACAGTTAGTCTATCCTTCCCCCAAACCCTCTAACAGTATTACCTGCCCTGTGGCAGATCTCATTGTAGCAACAGTTACTGAAGTCCCTGTCTGCTAAGAACCACGCACCCCTCCCATTAAACTTTCATAAGCACCTCCCCCAAGACAGGTGTTATTTTTACCCATTTTGTAGTTGAAATGGAGGCACAAAAACATCCCCCTATTTGCCCAAGTCACGCAGCTAATTTAAGCGATTCCAGACAGTCTAATTCCAAAAGTCCTCTCTCTAACTCTCGCATTTTACAGCCAGTTATTCCACAGCGATTGTCAGAATTTAGCACTGAAGACGGATCCGAGAAAGACAACCTCCGGCTTTTCTCCAAAAAAACTTAGAACCCAGCTGGGCAAGACCAATGCAAGTGTAACACAGAGCACACCCTAAACGTGCCAGGGAAGTACCAGGGAAGACATGGCAGGGCTGTCTCGTGCAGCAGGAAGGGTCAGCAGCCCCATGATACTCTTCTCTGAATACCCCAGTTCCTAGCAGCCTCTGAGCAAACGTTTGGGAATGAATGCCTGAGCTGAAGACAGGCTCTGTTTTTGTTATACCTGCAGCCACTCAATAAAGGTCAACTCGCTCTTTCTGCTTCTCCTTTACTGTGTAAGTCTGCCTTTCCAGTCAAAATAAAATATATATATAAAAAAAAAAGGGTGGGGTGGGGAGGAGCTGGTACAATGGCTCAACTGGCTAACTGGCTAATCCTCTTCCTCCAAGTGCAGGCATCCCATATAGGCACCTGCTCATGTCCCGGCTGCTCCACCCTCATTCCAGCTCCCTGCCTGTGGCCTGGGAAAGCAGTGGAGGATGACCCAAAGCCTTGGGACCCTGCACCTGTGTGGGAGACCCAGAAGGAGCTTGTGGCTCCTGGCTTCAGATCAGCTTCATTTCAGCTCCAGCCTTTGTGGCCATCTGGAGAGTGAACCAGAAGACAGAAGATCTCTCTCTGCCTGTTCCTCTCTTTGTAACTGTTTCAATAAACACATAAATTGAAAAATATATATTGCTGGTCAAAATAAGTCAATGCATTAAAAACACACAAAGGGCGGAAACACACAAACAACAAAACACCCAAACAAGATCATTTGAATTGCTGGGAAGATAAACACATTATCATTTTTAACAAATAAGATGATGAACAATATATTGAGAAGGCCAAGCTGTGATGGTGATATTCAAACTGATTTGCAGTCATTACAAAAAAATAAAAAAATAAAAAAAAAAACCCACCTAATTTTACTTTCATTTTGTTACTGAAATAAAACGCTGTTCACACACAGGCCATATTTCTACAGACCGCCTTGATTTTATTTTTGTACACAGTAGCTTTGCTTTGTTCAAAAAAAAATTCTTGGGCCATATGGCATATTGATTTTTTTAAAACCATTATGCTCGCTTCTAAAAAAAGGTGAGAAAGGAGGCCCAAGGAGCCACCTGCAGGGAGGAGAATCTTGGCAGAATACAAACCCTTGGTTTCTGTAACAATTAGAGATTTTACCTTCAATGGGCAGCACTCAAATATAACATTGGAAACAACGTAACATTTTGGAATGCTTTAAAAGGTATTGCGAGGAAGTGGTATAAACAGAATGATGACAGTTTATTTTTTCTAACTAAAATTACAAGGTAATGGACACTGTGTGTGTAAAACTTAATTGCCACCTATTTCAGCAAGCCTTTTACCTGTTCCTACCATGCATGTCTTTTCCATGAGTAAAATGGGGGTGACGAGGTTGCAGAATCCCCGTGCACCAGCCAGCCACTCTCCATCCCTGACCCAGCCTCAAAACCCGGCAGAAAATAGAAGGTGCAAGCATCTACTGCAAGGGCAATGCAGGTGCAACACTAAGCACTTAAAAAAAAAATTGTTCACCTAGGGTTCGGTTTTTGCAGCAATTTGTGTCTGAGTTAATAAATCAAGGAAGCCTATGCAACACCATTCTTGCATAGGAATAACTCGTATATAGCAGTTAGGATGCTCAAAATATAAATAAAAGAACACTACACAGAGAAAGGCATTCGATAGAAAAAAAGAGGAAAACTAAATATCTCCATTTTCACCATTTTTGTACCGTTTTTCCTTTTTTATCCTCTCCTACAGAGCCAAGTCCAGTCTTCACTTCCTGTTCATCTCAAAGCAGCAGCCAAAGCCGCAGCAGCAGCCTGGCCCGGTTTAGGCGATGAAAACAGAGCCCAAACACCGATTTTTCGACACCTGCGGCCCATCTAACGGGACCAAGAACATCCTGCATCAGCCCTCACCCCGCTGCAGACGACGCTCGCCTCCACCCATTTCTTTAAAAATCCATTTATGCTGTTTTTCCTGCAGCTCCACAAACAACCATCCTTCCCCCCACCACCGCCCGCACCCTTCGCCCGCAACGCTCTGCCCAGCCAGTGCCGAGTCCCGCCAAAGGGAGACTGCGGACTGCGGCGCCTGCAGACTCGCCCCGCCCGCCGAGCGCGCAGTCCCGCACGGGGGGCTCCACCGACTCCCCGAAAGCACCAGCAGCATCGCGCAGGGGTCGTGACCCCGAGAAGACCCCACCCTCGGGGGGGGTGGGAGCCCAAGTCGTGGGAAGGCGCGGTGGCCTTTGGGGACCCTCGGGGACGCCCAGGCGCCCCGGGGTGGCCCCGGCTAGCCGCGCGCCGCTCCCAGGTGGGTCCCGGCCGCCCGCGCGCACGGCTCGTCCCCTCCCCAGGACGCCGGAGGAGGAGGACGCCACCCGGGGCCCGCTCGTCACGACTCAGCCGGGAGAGGGTGGGGGAGAGAGGGAGGGGCTGGGGACAGCAAGGAATAAAGGAGGCTGGGGAGGGAGCGGGGGCCCCGCGGGGAGGGCGCTGGGGGGACCCCGGGCGGGCCGCGGGGTGGGCGCGAGCGAGGGGACGAGGTGCCGGGGAAGGATGGAGAGGCTCCGGGGGGCGACGGGGAGATGTGCGGTGCATGGGGGAGGCCGGCGGGCAGGCGCAGGGCCCGGGGACCGCGGGTTCGCGTCCCTGGCCGGCGGCCGGCGCTGGGAGCCCCCCTCAGGCCCGGGGTGGGCAGCGGCGGAACCCGGGCGCCGCGGCGGGGTAGGACCACTTACTCTCTCCGACCACGGCTTTGAGGCCAATGGGGGCCATGGCGCTGCGCGACCCTGCCGGCTCCGACCTTCGTCTCGCGCCGCCCGCGGACCCCGCCGCAGCCCGCCGCCCCGCAGCGCGCTCGGGACCGACTGAGGCGCGGACGCGCGGGGGCGCGGCGCGGGCCAGAGCGAGGCTGCGGGGCCGCCGGCGTGCGCGCGCGCGGGGGCGGGGCCGGCCCGGGGCGGGGCCTCGCGCTGTCAGGGCCGCGTCACCCACGCGCCTCCGCCAATCGCACTGCGGCCCGGGCGCTCGACCCCGCCCCCCGGGATGCGGCTGCCGCGCCCTCCCCGGCCGCTCCCGCGGAGAGCGCGCGCGCGCGTGCCCGGGGCGCAGGGTCCTAAAGTCCCCTGTGCCGCCTCCGCACGCGGGTGTCTGGCCGCTAGCCTCTTCCTGGAGGCCTTTCTGGTCATCCTCCGAGCCCTGCATGAATTCCGAGGCTGTCCGTCTCGTGAACCACCTCCATCCGTAGCTACCGCGTGATGTCTGTGCTTATCCACGCCCACCTGTGCCTGGGCACCTATGTCCACAGAACTGCCATTCCCAGAACTGGTAGTCTGTGCCAAGCGCCCTGCGGGCATCATCTCGCTCAACGCTCACCATAATTGGCCGTTGTTTTCCATCTCCATGTTCATATGTGGGGGGAAAAAATGAGGTGAGAGATGACAGAAAAAAGCCTGAACTCGCTGCCCTTAGCTCTGCTGTGCCTAAGTCTCTGGAGCTACAACCTAGCACCAGCCAGATTCCGGCCCCAGCCCTGGGATGCTCAGAAGGTTGGCGTTTCTAAGTTCCCAATCTAACAGAAGCGTACGGTAGAAGTGGGGTTGACTCTGGCCCCAAAACCTTCTTCCGATCCACATTTACCGAACTGGCCCCAGGTCAGCTTCCCTTGGAGAAAAATGTGTTGTGCCCATTGGAAATCAAATCAGGAGAGTCAGCATTAAAATCAGTGACTCCACGCGATATGCTTGCAGGAGCCCCAGATCCAGGTCCTTTTCTTTGTGTTATTAAGAACTGGAGTTGTCTTGGGGATATTACTATGGTGCATCAGACTAATCCGACATCTTGTAGCTCCAGGTTCTAGCCCCAGTTGCTCCACTTCCCATCCACCTTCTGGCCTGGGAAAGCTCCGGTCCTTGTCTCGCTTGCCAGCCCCAGGCCATACAGATTCGGCCATCCTCCCACCCCATGGCAGCCCACGCTGACAGAACCCTCACTGCAGCGTCCCCAGACTAGGGTGGGGGTGGGGTTAATGGGTCTTCTCTCACACCTCTGTCCTCCCCTGAGTGTATTCAAGGAAGAACAGGCTTCTTTGCCAACTGGGAGACCTATAACCATGTGCAAAGGTATGGGTTCCTTCCCTTTCCAGCTGGCACCGGTTAGCAGGGGCTCTGTGGTGTAGGCACCTGCCATGAAAATGCGAAGTGCCAGCCAAGGTGTCGAGATGGCAGGGAGCTCTTGTTTTCATTCACCCATCAGTGGGTCAGCAAGCACTGCTGAGTGCTGCCTAGCCCCCGGCCATGTGCTGTGGATAGTACAGACACAACTGGTGCACTCCAGACGTGAATGGGAGCTAAAGAGTCAGCCACAGGCAGGTGGCCGCGAGTTAAGGAACAGGCCTTGGGACTCAGTGGGCTGGGGTTCAGGTGCAGCCAGCCAGGAAACTCTAGCAAGGGCCCGGAGGAATACCCAGACAGACAAATGCCCTGTGGCAACAAGAAGCTGGGCTTTCTCCAGGAGCAAAGAAGTGACAGGACGATTTAGAGGATGGAGGTAGGGAGGGGAGGACGGGGACGGGCCTTGGTGCAGGGTCCTGGGACTCCTGGGTGGCCCAGCATCCTATGGAAGGTCAAAGCCAATCAAATGTAGGAGCAACTGCTTGTTTTCTACAAGAAAGACCCAACAAGATATTTTACGGGGATGTGTACCTGTGATGCTCCCTGGGGATGGCAAAATCAACACAGAAGGGATTTAAATTAAGTGGCAAAGGGGGTGACAGACTGTGGCCTCGGGGCCCGCGTGGAGACCTCCCTACCTCACTGATACTTTCCCAAGGCATGAAAGAGGAACCAAAAAAGCTTGCAGACCTCTCGCGGGCCGTGAGCCACAGGGAGCCACACATCGTGGCTGTCCTGTTCATTTACTAAGGGTTGGCTGCATGCTCAGCACTGTGCAAAGAGCCCTCCGGAACCGGAACCAGATTCTCGCTGCAGCCTACTGGTATCCCACTGGAGCCCAGGATGGGGTGGGGAGGTGCGCAGGACGGCCAAGTCATCCGCTCAACGTCATGGCTCTTTGCGCAGTCCCAGCACTCCACCTGACATCTCCATGCCCAGGGGAGACTGTCCAGGACCCAGTCCCAGTGCCCTGCTCCAAGAAGAGCTTTGGTTGTGTGGACAATTTGTTGAAGTGCATCAGCAAAGAGAACCTGAACCGCTCCGGAGTTTGAACCCCGGCGAGTTCTTCCCCCTCCCCTCCCCCCGTACCAGGTCCCTAACTCTAGCCCAGCTTGCGAGCGAGGCGGGGCTAAGGCCACTGGATGCGCAGAGCGAGACCTGGTCCCCTCCGGCCAGCGTGCAGCTGCTCCTGCAGTTGCGCATGCGCGGCCTGCAGCCTCTGCAGAGCCCAGTGCGGCTCGGCGCTTGGGGTGGGAACTGTCCTGTGATTTACGCACGCGTCACATGCCACCGAGGAGCCTCAGGAGCCGGCGAGTGGGGCAGGTGGGAAGACGGATGCGCAAGAGGGTGCGAGGAGGGATCTAGAACCAGGAGAGTCTAGCCAGAAGCAGCGATGGGGCCGACCGGAGGCGGACAAGCAACCGGTTTTGGCTGGCTCCGCGCAACCCCACTGTGTCCTCCAGGCCTCCCTGCAATGCTGGAGAGCCCTGGGGGCGGAGCCTAGCCCACCTGGGGGCTGGCAGCCAGCTCCCAGTGGTTTGCTACTGCTTGGTGGGCTGCGTTGCCCTGGGGTCCTTCCTCCTGTCTGCTGGGCCTTCGGACTGTTAGGAGTCTTGGACCATTGGACCTGAGGAATTCAAGATAATAGCTACACTTTACCCAGTCCTGGCAACCTGCTGAGGCTCCAGCGACTGTTGAAGTCATTGTTGAAAATGGCACATCCTGAGACTGCGTTGAATCGGTACTTGCATACATATGAGCTGTGCACGTCAGATGTTCAGATGTACGTGAGTTATACATGAGTAGAGAAGGACTCCGTCTTTGCTGGATGCATTGGCAGGGAACACAGGCCCGATGTCTTCGCTGCTCTCAGCCCTGTCCCAAACACCCCCTACAGCGAGCAGGTGGGCAGAGAGCTACTTAAATGCCCAACAGCCTTGCCCTTTCACAGTTCACAGTCTTGGAGGACTGAAGTCCAGGGTACAATATCAGAAGCCTTTTTCTTTTTGTTTTCCCCAAAAGGCTAAGTAAGTCACGCTTGTAAACTTTAAGCGCTGTAGGGGCCCAGAGGTGCAACATCACAGATGTGGCCAAATACACAGCACCTGCCTTCGCCAGAGGAGCAGACGCTACCCAGATCTGGTGAGGCACCTCTCATTGTTGGACGTTACAGTGCAGTTTTTCTTTTTTTTTTCACATATTCAGAGCACCACTCCAGCCAAAGAAAGCCGACCTGTCAGTCACATTTTCCACCAGGTGTCTGCACACAAGTCTGGGTCTACACGAATCGCTCTATAAGAGGAGGTTGGGTGCCCCAGGATCTGGACTGGGAGCCGCAGGTCCCAAACAGACACTGATGCTCCCTGCTCATGGACGCCTCCTAGTGGGCAGCTCTCAGGACAAGGTGGCGGGCACTTCTCAAAGTTGAGGGCCACAAGAGGGGTCTCCCTACTTAGTGTGGCCCTGTGGCAGCGGACAGAGTCAGGCCAGCCACTATGTCATGGGAGTCTAAGAGCAGCTGATGCAGGCAGCCTCATTTGTCCAGACTGTGTAAGCCCTTCAGGACTGGGCAGGCACAGGAGCATGGAGGGGCCCCCAAGAATGGCAGATGGGACAAGGGGGAGAGGGAGGAGGGCTGGAAGTTGGTTGAATGCACAGAGAACAGAGTTAAAATGCCTGCATGTGATGGGCTTGGCACAGTAGCTTAGTGGCTAAAGTCCTCACCTTGCACACACCAGGATCTCATATGGCCGCCAGTTCTAATCCCAGTTGCCCCACTTCCCATACAGGGAGCAGTCGAGGATGGTCCAAGACCTTGGGACCCTGCACCTGTGTGGGAAACCTGGAAGAAGCTTCAAATTGGCTCAGCTCCATCCGTTGTGGCCACTCAGGGAATGAACCAGCAAACAGAAGACCTTTCTCTCTGTCTCTCATTCTTTCTGTAAAAAAATAACCTTTCCAATAAAAATAAATATTTTTAAATAAATTCCTATGTGTAGAAATCTATATATTATTTTTTTGATATTTGTTTATTTTTATTACAAAGTCAGAAGTACAAAGAGGAGGAGAGACAGAGAGGAAGATCTTCTGTCCGATGATTCACTCCCCAAGTGACCACAACAGCCAGTGTTGCGCCGATCTGAAGCTGGGAGCCAGGAACCTCCTCCAAGTCTCCCACACGGGTGAGGGGTCCCAAGGCTTTGGGCCGTCCTTGACTGCTTTCCCAGGCCAGAAGCAGGGAGCTGGATGGGAAGCGGGGCTGCCGGGATTGGAACCGGCACCCATATGAGATCCTGGCGTGTTGAAGGCGAGGACTTTAGTTGCTAGGCCACTGCGCCAGGCGCTCTCTCTTTCCTTCTAATAAATGAATAAGGAAAGTGAGTGAAAGGGAAAATGGAGCCTGAGGACTGAGAGATAAAGTCAAATCAAACCAAAGAGAGCATAGCTGGACTTGTGGTTCCCGTAGTACCAAGGCACCCTGAGTGAGATGACACAGTACCTTAGCCGGCAGGTGGAATGCTTTAACTTTTGGAGGAAAATACAATGCAGTCACCCATTGGGCACTAAGCACTACTAGCCGGAAGCGGGATAGGCCCTGGAGACGCCGCAAGAGAAGAAATCCTGCCGATGGAAAGCTGACATCCTAGAGGGGGAAGC